GTTAAAAATAATTAATAATTAATAAAATAATTAATATTTATTATTAAATAAATTAAAATAAAATTCAAATAACTATTTTTAAATATTATAATTAATTAGTAAAAAATTATAAAATTATAAAATTTTAATAAAAATTAATAATCTTATCCAATCCAATCCTATCTTATCCCATTGTTTTTGTCATGTGTAATACTATCCTAACCTACATTTCAAACATGCTGCAAAGGAATTGTTTATAAATGATTTTGCCCTACTAGATGACTAGATTATAGTCATCCCATCAATGCAGCAACTAGCTACTTTGCCTATTGAAAAAACCTCGTATCGGTTGGAGATGATGTGGCAAGGGTGGGGCCCACAAAGTAAGGTAGCAAAAAACAAATTTAAAAAGACCTAACTGGTGTGACCATTGCACTTAACTGTCAATAAACAGTACTGTTAGCTTACATTGGACAGAGGGACGACATTAACAGGTTTTCGCATTGTAGAGGGATGACAGGTGGAGTTAATTGATAGTAGAGGAATGATATGGAACCAATGCATAATAGAAGGTTTAGATTGCACTATTTTTGATAGTAGAGGGATGATAGATGGCATTAACCCAACAATTTTTAAAAACCCTAAACGAAACGTGGGAAACTCCAAATACCAACCAGCAGAAGAAGATCATTGCCTATTTTCAAAAAAAAAAAAAAAGGGGCAGAAAGACAAAGCAAAGCAGTTAATTTTCGGCGTGGTGAAATTGTCATTGCTCCAAACTTCTTTGCTTTCTTCCAAACAAATAGGTTAACAACAGGTGGACCTATTCATAGTTTTCATGACGTCTTGCATCACGATTGTATGATAGCAATTTTTTTCTTAATATTGAGTTGCAAGTTGCAGGGACAGAGCTTAATCAATATTTAAGGGGGTTTAAAATATTTATTTTTGTCACATGTAAAATATAATATATATTACTCCTTCCATTCATTATTAGTAGATTTAATTTTTTATTTAAAGTGTTCAAATTTAATTATTTATTTTTTATTTTTAAATTATCATTTAATATATTTATTCCTATCTTACTTTATTTCAAAAAATAATTATAATATATATTAAATAAAAAATTTTATTTAAGTAATATTTAATTAGGGATAAATATAAAACTTTATCAATAAATTATTGCATCTTATTTTATTAAACAAAAAATTAGATCTATTAAAAATGAATGAAGTATAAAAAAAATGAGAAATGATTTTGAGACAATCTTTTTGCACCACCTTTTAATACAATCTAATGTGTCATTTAAATAATTAATTTTTTTATTTATATTGAACCTGTGATATTTAATACATCTACTTATTTAATAATATATGAAAATTGTATAAAAAGTGGTATAAAAATGTTGTTTCTATAGTACCACCCAAAAAAATATTTATTTATCAAATTTCTAAAAAATTAGGAGAGAAATCATTTTAAATCTATATTGTTTTAATAAATTTTCATTAAAAAAATTAAAACAACATATTTTTAAAATAAAAATGTGATTATTTTTAGTCTTTTATTGTAATATTTTACTGAAACTATGTGATTTTGAAGTGTTTTTTCTATTAAATTTTTAAACATTACCTAATAACCACTAATCTCACAAATCATAACATATATAAATATAAGATGTAACTAAACAAGAAAGATAAAACTATAAAATTAAATTATTTTATTTACTAACATTCTAAGAGATTATATTCTAAGTCACTTTTCACAATCATTATTCTAAATTCTTTAAAATTGCCAATTATCTTTATGTCTTCGACTCGATTCTTCTTCACTGAACTAAGGAGTTGCATTGAAAAATCAAAATAAATGCCAAAAAAAAAATATATAGGAAAGAATTCAATCACTTATTAGAAATTCAAGAGATTAAATCACTTAAAATTTTGGCAGTATTATAAGAAAATATCAAAATAAAAAATTAGGAATACTAGCTAGTAGACAAAAAAAATAGAGATTTATTTATATACCAACAAAAATTCAATATAATCACAAGATATTAGGGCATGAAATTCACTCAAAATTGTGATTTTACAACAAAAACTCATCACAATCAAATAAGATGGATAGTTAGCTTATAAATCATAATGAATATTTTTAAAAAGTATGAAATTATAATTGTTTTATTGCTCAAAAAAATTTAAAAAGTACAATTTATAGTTAGACAACGACAAAAAGAGAGTTAACAGACAAAACTTTAACTAATCAACAAAACATGAAACTTCTATAATAAAGAGTGGAATGAATGAAGGGAACTAATAGAGTTTGCTTTTTGAAATTTTAAGCTATGGCCCCCAGGCCCTTAAGATGCTCTGTCTTGGTAAGTTGCCTTTACGATCAACGTTGAAAGGAAAATTCCTTGTATAGGACGGTGTGTCTTAGCACATGGTAATGTAGAATACAAAGTTCATCTATAAATGAACACATTACGTATATAAAATATAAATCACTTATTAAACTCAGTAAAAAAATTCAAACAATGAAAAGAAAAAAAATTGTCTATTATTTGCCAGGGGTTGAAACCACTACCATGAGATTCTGGAGTCTCAACCTCTTGCCCTCTGGGTTCTTGATGATGACTAGAGCCAAGGGATCATTCGCTAAGAAGTAATTAATAAGGAAAACTCCTTGTATGGTATTCCAAACGAAATTGAGGCGAACAACATACAAAGATGGCGAGAAGGAGAGGGAGAATGCAAACTAGAGAGTTTGGATGAAAAACACAAAGCTTTTGGACAGCACAGTCTTATGAGAGTTCTAGATCCCATGGACAGGGTCAATTGTGTCAGTAGTTTGGGGGCTACGACAAAGGAATTTACAACCAAGCTGCACCCTTTTTCTTCACAAACTTACCAAAAGTGTGGTCATTTGAAGATACGTGGAGAGCTTTTAGTAGAACAGGATTGGGAAAGGTATCGGAGATTGATTGTCCCACAAAAAGGGATAGACTGGGAAGACGGTTCGGTTTTGTCCGTTTCTTAGAAGTAAAGAGTGAAGCAGAATTGGAACAAAGGCTAAATGAAATATGGATTGGAAACTTAAGGCTGCAAGCAAATAAGCCTCGGTTTGCAAAAGGAGAGCATCCCACCAGAATGGGCTTTGGAAATCATCCCACCAGGACATTGGAGAATAGGGGCGCACAAGCAAAAATCAGAGATGATAGGGGAGGCAACATGTTGTAACTTATGCAGAGATGGTAAGAAGACAAGGCAAGCCAAAAGCGACAGATGAGTTGGAGGAGAACGAAGGTTCAAGAGGAGGGAGACAAAGGGTTGCCGGTAGATTAATAGGAAATGTGAGAGGGGGTCAACATGCTGTAACTTATGTAGAGATGGTAAGAAGACAAGGCAAGCTAGAAGTGACACAAGAGTTGGAGGAGAATAAAGTTCCAAGAGGAAGGAGACAGAGGGTTGCCACTAGATCAATAAGAAATGGGAGAAACAAAAGATGGTTACCCAAGCATCAAGCACAAATTTGGTTGGGGTTGGAATTCAATATTAATATAGACGAGTTTTCTTGGTTGGAAAAATGCTATGTCAGAACAATTTTTTCAGAGAACATAATACCAAACTTACAGGAGAAATTTTACATAGAGGGAGTTTTCTACTGTAACATAAGAGCTATGGGAGGAAAGCTTGTTCTTTTGGAAGGTAGGGATTCTGAAGATCTGAAGGCACTTGTTGAGACAGGACAAGATTGGTTAGGGCAATAGTTCGAAGATATCAGACCATGGTCCCCTGTTATGGTGGCTACTGAACATTTTGCATGGATTCGTTGCCAAGGTCTTCCTTTGCATGCTTGGAAAGTAGACATTTTTCAAACTTTTGGAAGCTTATGGGGAAAGTTTATTACACTAGATGATAGCACAAGCAGAAAGAAGAGATTTGATGTGGCTAGATTCCTTATTACAACCCCATTTATAGATTTTTATCGAAGTCTTTAATTGTCAAAATAAATGGAAAATTGTTCAAAATTAAGTTCACAGAGGAAGAATCTGCAAACAATCTGTTCTCCATCAAGACAGATTATGTGTTTAGGAAGACTGATAATGGTTATGGGGAATCATGGCCATCAAATGACTCAATAGATACGGATTCTAGCCTTGAAGGAAGCTTCACTGCTTTTCAATAAACTGATAATAGAAGCATGGAAGATGAAGATGATGTTGACATGGAAGACATAATGGCTGAGGTGGCTAAACAAATTGGTGAGGTGGCAGGTGAAGTTGATGATAACATGGAAGACACAACGTATGAGATGGCTAAAACGGAGAAGATTGGGATAAATGTGGAGGAAGAAGTACAATCTTCAAATTTGAATAACCTAGAGCTTGGAGTAGTTGTTAAAATAGCTGATACATGTGCAGCCAAAAATAGTGGCGAGGTGGGTCTAGTTGACGGCTCGAGTATAGTGGCATTTATGATTAATGGCGTTGGGAGTGAGAATCATGTACTCTGCATGGCGGCTAAAGGAAGTAATGAGGAAGATTTGAATAGAGATGGCTGCTCATTAATTGGTGATGGGAGAAGAGAAACCGACTCTATCAGTGATTTAAAAATGGTTGCAATTTCGATGCATGCAAATGAAGAGTTATTGGAGGGGGTTGGGTTTACTTGTCTTAGGTAGGACAACGAGAAAGTGTTGGGGCCTGAAGATGAAAATGTAGAAGGTGGGTCTAACCATGAGTGGGCGTCCAAGGTTAGTGGACCAATGGAGAATGGGCCTTCAATTTCAACAAGTTGTGCTAGAAGTAATTTATTGGATCAGCCCCAATTCCAAACAAATCAGGAAGATTCGAGATCATTTTAGGAAGGCTTAGAATGCAAATCAGGTGAAGTAGCATAATGGATGAGGAAAAGGGAACACAAAGTGAAGAGGAAGCAAAGAAAAAGAGCAAAGTCTTGTGCCTCAATTTATAAGGAGATAGGGAGATTCGAACAGAACATGGTGCGTAGAAGGAAAAAGGGCTGTTGTTTGAAGTTTGCAACGCAAAAGCAAATGGTGACTTTTGAACCAAATTTAGAAATCTCAGTGGTTGATGCTTCAATTAATGATAGTAATATCTAGAATTGCAACCGGTGTCTTCACTTGAGGGATGCAAAAAGAACTGTAACAGCATTATGGGAGCAAGTGAAGGTTCTTGGGGTTACAGTGAAAGGAGATGAACATGTGATTTTGGAGAAAATACAAGACTTGGAAGTCAGAGATAAGGAGGAAAAAAAGAGAGGAAATGGCCAAATCGAAAAGCAAGGACCAGGTGAATTCACATCCATCATGATTTTATTATCTTTAAATATAAAAGGTTTAGGAGGGAAAAGGAAGAAAAGAGTTGTTCGAGAATTGGTGGCAAAAGAGAAAGTTGATATGCTATTTTTACAAGAGACAAAAGTAGAAAATGTAGATAGGAGATTGTGTAGAAGAATTCGGGACTCAAAAAATATGGATTGGGTTGCAAAACCATCTCTCGATGCTTCTAGTGGGTTGATTCTTATCTGGAACTGTGATGTGTTTAAAAAAGTTAAGAGTGTCTAAAGGAGAAGCTTTTATTACGGTATTTGGTTTTTGGGGAGCTGAGGCAATTCCATGTTTTTTGCTAATATTTATTCTCCCTGTGATCTTGCGGGTAAGAAGACTTTGTGGGAGGAATTAAGTAATTTATTAAAGAGCTGTAGAGGAAATTGGTGCATTGGTGGTGATTTCAATGCCATCAGAAATTTACAAGAAAGGAAAGGAGGTCAAAGTGCTCAAAGTGAACTCAGAGGTTTCAATGAATTCATTGAAACAAATAGTTTGGTGGATTTGCCATTGTTGGGTAGAAAGTTCACTTGTTACCAACCAAATGGGATCTCTATGAGTAGATTGGATCACTTCCTCTTCACTGAGGAATGGATAACAATATGGATAGATCTGAAATAGTGGGGTTTACCTCGATCTATATAGGATCACTACCCAATAGTAGTAAAAAATGCAACTTGTAACTAGGGGCCAAAGCCTTTTAAATTTTTCAATGCTTGGCTAGAAATTCCAAGGTTCAAGAATCTAGTTACAGACAAATGGAAACAGTTTGAGGTGAAAGGGTGGGGCGGCTATGTACTGAAAGAAAAACTGAAGCTTTTGAAGGGCTTTTTAAAGACTTGGAGTAAGGAGCATGGAGTGGAGGTGGATGAGAAAATAGAAAGAGCTAAATCTAAATTAGCAAGACTTGATTGTAAAGGTGAATTTCAACAGTTGGATGCAGAGGAGATTATAGCTAGAAGGAACTACACTAAAGATCTGTGGGTGAACATTCGACTAAAGGAAGACATGCTACAACAAAAATCGAGGTTAATATGGTTAAAGGCTGGTGATGCAAACACGAGGTACTTCCATAGAAGCATCAAAGGGAGATGGCGTAGAAACCAAATTAACTCTTTGTTAGTCAACGAAGTAGAACTAACAGGTGTTGAAGAGCTCAAAGATTGGGCAGCCAATTATTTTAGAGAATTGTTTATAGAGGAAGGGTGGCAGAGACTAGTTTTGGATGGTGTTAACTTTAAACCCTTAGCATTCACAGATATGGCAAGTCTCACTAAATCTTTTACTGAGGAAGAAGTCAGATCTGCAGTTTGGGAATGTGATAGTGCGAAGGCTCTTAGACCCAATGGTTTTAGTTTTGGGTTTATAAAGTCAGTATGGGAAGTGTTAAAGACAAATATATTGAGTTATTTGGCAGATTTCCACCACAATGGCAAGCTAGTATGGGGGTCAAATGCCTCCTTTATTGTACTAGTCCCTAAGGCAGAAAATACACAGAAAATAGAGGAGTATAGGCCAATTTCTCTAATAGGCTGCATGTATAAAATTCTTTCAAAGGTCTTGGCAAATCGACTAAGTAGAGTCCTTAAGGGAATTATTGGGGAGCAACAATTAGCTTTCATTAGAGGAAGACAATTAGTTGACGGGGTTGTTGTAGCTAATGAGGTAATTGAGGAAGTCAAAAACAAAGAAGTCCTATTGTTTTATCTTCAAGGCTGATTTTGAAAAAACCTATGACAAAGTTAGTTGGCAATTTCTAGATTATATGATGGTTCGGATGGGGTTTGATGATGTTTGGAGAGGACGGATAAAGGAGTGCCTTCAATCAAACTCAGTTTCAATATTGCTTAATGGTAGTGCATCCAAGGAATTTTCCATGAGCAAGGGTCTAAGGCAAGGAGATCCTTTATCTCTTTTTCTCTTTTTAATTATAGTAGAGGAGCTTAATGGTATTGTCAATGCAGCAACCTCAAAAGGCCAGTTTAAAGGAGTACATATTGGACGAGGGGATTTATGCATCTCACATTTACAATTTGCAGATGACACGTTGTTGATGGGAGAAGCCACAAAGGATAATGTGTGGACAACAAAGTGTATTATGAGGGCCTTTGAATTAGCTTCTGGATTGAAGATAAATAATGGCAAAAGTTCACTTATAGGAGTGAATGTGGATAAAGCATGGGAGCAAAGGATGTCGTATCTCCTGAACTGCAGGGTAGGTTCATTACCATCTAGATACTTGGGCATCCCATTAGGTGCTAATCCTAGAAGATGTAGTACATGGAAGCCTTTAATTAAAAAGTTCAAGAGGAAATTATCATGCTGGAACGGTCGATTTTTGTCCATGGGTGGCAAGATCACTCTCATTAATTCTGTGCTGTCAAGCTTGCCAGTGTTTTTAATGTCCTTCTTTCTCTTTCCAAAGGGTGTCATTCGAGAATTAGATAAAATTAGGAGGGATTTTCTATGGGGTGGGACTCAAAAGAATAGGAGTATAGCATGGGTTAGGTGGGAGAAAGTATGCAGTAACAAGCTTGTATAAGGTCTAGGCATTAAAAATCTAAGCTTGTTTAATATTGCTTTGCTTGGCAAGTGGTGGGGGCGGTTGTTAGATAAAGGGGAGGGCTTGTGGAAAAAGGTTTTAATAAAAAAATATGGGAACAACGAGGGGAATTGGATACATAGTCTAAGAGCAAAAAGAATGACAGGATTTAGCTGGTGGATTGATATTTGTAAAGTGGATAGGTTTGTGAGAAATGAGGAAGGGTGGTTAAGCTCTGGGTTCTTTGTGATTCTAGGAGATGGGGGAACCATAAGATTCTAGAGTGATACTTGGGTGGGGGGTAAGGAATTATCTAACGTTTTTCCTCGATTATTTTTATTAGCTACAGACAAAAATTGCATAGTCCAGGATATGGGTGAATGGACAAATGGGAACTGGACTTGGAAATTAAAGTGGAGGAGGTAGCTAAGAGCCTGGGAAGAGGATTTGGCATCACAGCTGATGGTAGTTATTGAAGAACAACAATTGACATATGGCAAGCAAGATGAATGGTCTTGGAAGATGGGCAAAACAGGGCACTGCACTGTAAAGACAACGTATGAGATCCTTTCAAATAGAGAGGAAGGTGGTGTGGTGAACTATAAAAAGATGTGGAAGTCCTCAATACCATCCAAGGTTAGTGTTTTTTCTTGGCAACTGCTCCAGGACAGGTTACCTACTAAGGATAATCTAGTAAAGAGAGGGGTGCTAAATGTAAACCAAGATAATAGCTTCTGTTGGTGCACTACTGCTCCGGAGAAAGTGGATCACTTTCTGCTGAATTGTGATTTTGCCCATAATATTTGGATGCGGGTTTGTAGGTGGTAGGGATTGACAACTGTGTTGAGCAACACCTGTTTGTCTATGTTTCACCAACACTGGTGGAATGGAGGAAAAAGGATAAATAAAGCTTGGATGGCAATTTGGTTTACTGTGGTGTGGACTCTCTGTGGCTGGGTAGAAAAGATAAGGTGTTTCAGGATCTTGAGGTTAGCGCAAATAAGCTATTTGATTTTATTCAAATTAGATCACTGCACTGGGTAAAAGGAAAAATAGGATTGGATAATATTGATTTAACATATTGGAAAAGCAATCCTTTAAGGAGTCTGAAACATAGGAGGCCCACATTTTGAGGAAAATATTTGGATATGTACTGTTAGCAAGTATATCCATAATATTTAGTGTACAAGCGTAGGAGTACCCCTTGTACTCTAATAATAATAATAAAAAAAATAAATTATCTTTACCTTTCAAACAAAAAAAAAAAAACGAAATTGATGCGAGATGCATAGAATTCGTGTTAATAACCTGACCTTAACATAAAATGTCTAAGTGTTTATGGCTAAGGCAGCATTTTTTTTTATTAACTAAATAACCGTGTGAGTAAAATTGACTAATTAAGTTTCTGTTTAGTATGATTTTGATTTGTGGTTTTTAGTTTTCTTTTATATAGATATATATATATAGACTAAAGATCTACTTATGCATAAATCTTACACACTGTATTTACATAAAATTTTAATTATTCATCTTTTCAATTTTAATAATTGAGATTTATTTACTTTTATCATACTTATTAGAAATAATCATCTTTTTTATCTAAAAAATATAATAAATTTTAATAATTGAAAGTAAAGAGATGACTATTCAAGATTTTGTGTAAGAGTAATATGTGAAACTTGTATGTAAATGAATTTCTACTCATATATATGTGTAATAATTAATACTATATTTAAATTAAATTAAATAAATTTTGATTTCTAAATGCAGTAATAATAACTAACTAAAGGCATGGTGCTACTGTCATACCCTTAAATATTAATACCACGTCATTTTATATTAAATGACTATTATACCTCATAATTTATTTTAGATTTAGTTTACATTTTCATTTACGCTAAAATTAAAAGTGAATTAAAATCAAGGATATAATAGTTAAGCTAAATAGGTAGAGCGCTAGC